GATGGAAATGCCAATAAAAAGATTCTTTTATTTATTTATTTATTTATTTATTTATTTATTTTACTTATATCCCGCCCTATCTCATGGTGGGCTCAGGGCAGTTCGCAACACAAAGAAAACACAATAAATATATAATTAAAACCATTTAAATTACACAAGATGGCATCAAAGAAACGTACATGGCTCCAGAGCCATCCAATATGCTTCCTGTTAGATGTTAGCAGGATAGTAAGCATCTGTGGTGCGCTGGCTCAAGTGGTTAAGACGCTGAACTGCAGGCTGTGGAAGGTCAGTAGTTCAGCAATTCGAGACCCGGGTGCCGCGTGACGGAGTGAGCTCCCGTCTCTAGTTCCAGCTCCTGCCAACCTAGCAGTTCGAAAGCAAGAAATTGCAAGTAGATAAATAGGGACCACTTCAGTGGGAAGGTAACAGCGTTCCGTGCACCTTGGTGTTTAGTCATGCTGGCCACATGACCACGGAAACGTCTTTGGACAGCGCTGGCTCTTCGGCTTTGAAACGGAGATGAGCACTGCAACCCTGGATTCGACTGGCTTTCGAGCAAGGGAAACCTTTACCTTTAAGCATCTGTAGTTTACTATGGGCAGGGCAGGCCTGGTGGAACAGCTCCATTTTACAGGCCCTGCGGAATTGTAACAAGTCCTGCAGGGCCCTGATTTCTATTGGGAGTGCATTCCACCAGTCCGGGGACAGGGCAGAGAAGGCCCTGGTCCTGGCTGAGCCTAGGCAGATGTCTTTTAGGCCATGGACTACCAGTAGATGTTGGTCTGCAGAGCACAAGGCTCTCTGGGGCATATATGGGGAGAGGAAGTTCCGAAGGTCTGCGGGTCCCACGCCATGTAGGGCTTTAAAGGTCAGCGCCATAAACCTTGAAGTGGATCCAGTACTCAATTGGTAGCCAGTGCAGTTGGCGCCACACTGGCTGAATGCGTGCCCGCATGCACGATACCATCAGCAAGCACACGGCCGTATTCTGCACTCACTGGAGTTTCCAAGTCAGGTTCAAAGGCAGCCCCGCATAGAGTGAATTACAGTAATCCAGCCTGGAAGTGACCACTGCCTGGATCGACATAGCAAAGTCCTTCCAGAACTTGGTGGTAGCACATTAGTGAGCCAGGAAGCTCAAATTTCACCACTGCTGCATTGGCTTCAGTAATGCTGATTCAGACGTTACAGAGCAGACAGGTTGGATCTGGGGTCCCCACTCTGTGTAGCAAGTATAAGTTACCATATATCAGTGGTGGCGAACCTATGGCACGGGTGCCAGAGGTGGCACTCAGAGCCCTCTCTGTGGGCACGCGTGCCATTGCCCCAGCCAGGCCCAGACCATCATTAAAGTGTCAAATTCTCTGCCAAATAATTTTAAGTAAATGAAAGCATTTGGAATTGCTTTCCTCACTTTGTTTGGATCATCTTAAGTTAATGTATGGGTTTTTTCTAAAGTAAAACCTCAGTATTCAGGTTAAATTGCCGCGTTGGCACTTTGCGATAAATAAGTGGGTTTTGGGTCGCAGTTTGGGCACTCAGTCTCTAAAAGGTTCGCCATCACTGCCATATATCAATTCCTGTGCATTCAGTGCCCAGTTTGAATTGGGACCACAGTACACACGGCAAAGGGGCAGCAGCCTGCCTTCCCATGGCATTTTCCTGACTTGAATTGGGTCTTGGGAATGCCAGTGGGGAATCCTGCAGGTTATTACGAGGGACCCATCCTTGGCAACCTCTAATTTAAAAGGACCACAATTTCAGAATAGAAGCAAACCATAGGTGAGGTCTGGGCGATGCTCCCTCTAAGCTGTAGAGTCTTGTGAGCAAAAAAATTCTACTTTGTGAGCAACTGGCATTAAAGTTGTGAGCAAGCGATTTGGCTGCTGCATAAATCAGTTTGCTCTGGAGCCCTCCTTCCTGAGCTAAGACAAAAATGTGTGAGCTGGAGGCTAATAACATTAGTTTACACGTCATGCAGCACACTGAGATAAAGCGGTCATGTGAAACGGGAATATATGCACATTCTGTTGTGTGCGCGCGCGTACATCTTGATTACCTGTTGAAGAAATACTACTCACTGCAAAACAGCAGTTTAAATATATATTTTCATAATACTACATCACAGCTGTTTCCTTCATTGCCTGCATCCTTCCCATGATCTCTCTGTTGTTTGTACAAAGCTCCAAGTGGTGGCTGGAGACCTCCCATAATTACAGCTGATCTCCAGCTGACAGATCTAAGTGGGAAAGGATTCACTGAGTTTACACCTATTCCGCTCTGAAGAAACCTTATGAAACAGGGCGTTGGAGCAGGCCTGTCTGCAGATTCTTGACCTTTATGCTATTTGTCTGTAATCCCATTTCCCATGGCTGCTTTGGAAGTTGGTCCCTCTTGCACTGTGCCCTGCTGAGGTCTATGGAGTCCTCACCCCCCCCCCCCCAGGTTCCACACCCACACCCAAATCTCCAGGTCTTCCCCATTCCAGAGTCGGCAGCTCTACTTCCATCATTTCATGGATGAAGACAAAAACCCTTTGACTTTTCGTAAGGAGGGCCACAGCCAGGGAGCCCCACAATGCCCTGCCTCACATTGCAGACCCCCAGACAGGAATCCTGAAGCACTTTTAGAACGAACGTACATTTCAGCTGATTAACACCAGTCACGGCTGGGGAATCTTGGGTTTTTATTCCACGAAACGCGATCAAATATTTTTGGGATGACTTCCCGTTCAGTAGTTTCATGCTGGGTGGGGCCTCCCTTCGAGGTTCTTTTTAGCTCAACATCCGGGGAGACTGAAAAATGGCTACCGCTGCATTCTGGATACTGCTAATTTGATTTACTTCCATATTTTACAGGCTGCTTTTCTCCCCAATGAGGATCTTAAGGGGCTCACATCATCATTCCCGCCTCTGTATTATCCTCACAACAACCCTGTGAGGTATGTTGGGGAGGGAGAGAGAGAGAGAGAGAGAATATGACTGGTAAAAAGTCACCCTTTCCTAGGTTTGCCATCCTCTAGTTGGGATAACCGCAGACAGATCACGGGATAAAGTCTTTGAGAGAAAGGCCCACAGAGAGAAAGCTGAATAAGAGACGATTTCCCTGAGTGTGAGCATGATGCAGAGAGACAGCATGCAGGGATGAATGCTAAGTGGGAAAGGATTCACCTATTCTGCTCTGAAGAAACATTATGAAACAGGGCGTTGGAGCAAGCCTGTCTGCAGATTCGTGACCTTTATGCTATTTGTCTGTAATCCCATATTAGTACAAGAAAGACACAAAGAAGATTTACTGTTTGTAAGAACAACAACTTTAGAGTCCGATGGCACCTTTAAGACCAACAAAGGTTTATTCAAGGCATGAGCTTTCGTGTGCAAGGCACACTTTATCGAATACGTTAGAACA